ATGCTGTGATCCTCCTGTGCCTCCAGGCCCTCCAGTTATTTGGATATTGCGTGGAGTCAAAGCTCTGTCAATCAGATAAGCAGTGACCTCGCAGACCCAGCAGATAAGACGTTACATGGCAAGAGGAAACGGCAGACAGCAGGGGACACAAGGCCCGACTATGAAGGCTCGGTGAAGCGAGACTGATCACAACGGTTCTTCACACTCAGAACGGCTGCCAAGAATGAAAATATATTGCTTGCATCTTTTCTAATTTCCAAGTTATATTGACTGAGTCTGATTTGGACCTTGTTGACGTGCGCATGTCGTTTCATCTAAAGAGGAAAATCCCAGCGTGCAAGGTGCTACAAGTTTTCTCTCATAAAAGGATGAATGGAAAAGAGCATTTTCAAGAATGCGCAGAGCTTTGTAGATTTTTATATTGAATTTACAAGCCAATATTATGAGAACGTTCTGAGTGATTTTAAATAATATTTCTCAAAAATGGCAAAACCCAAAGAAAATCATCAATTGTGAGTCTTAATTATCACTGATAAACACCCATAAACAAAGCGTTCATGCCAGATTTAACAGTCTCAATAAATGGCTTGCATAGCTATTTCAGCTGCAACAGAGCCACTGAGGTGGTAGGAATAAGACAAACTTGCCAGTCATTCCATTACACTGGGAAATTACAAAAGGATGAACTAGGGGCGAGTCTTTGTTTAGGACTGCAGCTTTTGGGTGGTCCACAGGTTGGAAGCCCTCTGGGAGGGATCAAGGAGACCTCCACATATAATACCAATAAGACGACCTGTTGAAACAGGGTAGACACTAATTCAAATGCAACTCAGCCACAGCCAAGAATACATTTTCATCCCCATTCGAAAATTAATTTTTCCACAAAGCTATTACTTTTCAAGTAAATAATTGTAAGTAATTTTTGGAAAAATAAACTGGCTCCAGCCCACGTCTGAGTTAAAACCTCAGTTATAGACTATTACATGTATAAAAGCACCGTGGAAGCCCAGATAAACACCAAAAATATAGCACAACACTGTATAAACTGTTCATTTAAATAATTTTGTCCCAAATACATAAGCCATATTATTATCCAGGGAAATGTTTGCTGAGCCCACATGCTCTTTTCATTTCAGCACCCTGCTTCATATTCACACATATTCAAACATATTTGGGTCTGGGAGCTGCCCAGGACAACCACAGCTCTCTGCTGCTGGCCACTGAGCTGATGGCTCAGTTCTTTTCTCAAGAGACCCTTGATGGTTGTTGTTCAACGAGGGGAGAGAAGTACTCATTCAACCCTCCCAAACAGTCTGGGGGTTCAAACACTTCAGTCGCAAGCTCTTCTCTAAATGAAAGGGTTACCACTAGAAAGACCAGACATTTAAAGCTAATTAAACTCAGTTTAACAGTTGTTTTAGTTCATGACAAAGTTTTCCAAACTAATTTCCTCGGTGTGCAGGAAGCACATCAACACATTTTCTACATATTTGTATTTGCAGAGTACTTTACTTCTTTGTGCAGTCTAACAGTGTGTAGTGTCTGTTTATTTACTGGTGGTGATGTTTCTGTGACACAACATGGTGATGGTTTTACTTGTTTCAGCACCTTATTAATTACCTTTCAATCCTTCATTGCTGATACAATATTATTGAGATATACATCAAAGTGTCTGGCAGAACCTACCAGACCTAATGAGACTGTGGGCAGTGGTGAGATCAGCCCGCCCTCCGTGATGCCTGAGTACTGTAGTCAGAGGATTCAGGTTACACGACCTACTGTTTCTGTATGTTGATGAGGACTGTGCTTTAACACATGTGACTGCTGTGTTTTTCCACACACTTCATACCTTGAGGTATGGTACTGGATACTTCCTCGCATGCCAATCTGGACCGGTTCCAAATATGTGTGTGCACCTTATCAGCAGGCTTCTAAACATGTCAACTATTAGTCACAATCTCCATAAAACTGCAGTCTGCATGATTCTGTCATGAGCAGATTTCCGTGTGCTATCAAATAAACTCTTAATCAGGCAATAAGCAGAGGGATATTATGTCAAAGCGCTAACAAGAATAAGACATGAAGGCTTCCTGTGTCTGTACTATATACAGACAACTTAAAGTCTGGGCCTGCTAAGCAACAGATCTGAGTATTATTCAACAGTATTAAAGGCATCTTTTTTTCAACAACTGCATTAAACTCCTGAGTGCATGAATGACATTTCCTTATGTGATGTCAAAAAAATATCAGCAGATGCCAAAGGCTGCAAACAACTCAGTGAAGTGTGTGCCTGCAGTGCCCCCTATTGTTCAAACTGGAGGCTAACATGTGAATGAACACACCCTGGATTGAAAAACTATGTAGACTGCAGGACCATCCATCTATTATCTAGACACCGCTTAATCCTCACCAGGGTCACGGGAGGCTGGAGCCTATCCCAGCCGACTCAGGGTGAAGGCAGGGGACACCCTGGACAGGTCACCAGTCTATCACAGGGCTACACTTAGAGACAGACAACCAAGCACACTCACATTCACGCCTACGGACAATTTAGAATCACCAATTAACCTCAACATGTTTTTGGACTGTGTGGGAGGAAGCTGGAGAACCCAGAGAGAACCCACGCTGCACGGGGAGAACATGCAAACTCCATGCAGAAAGATCCCGGTGCCCCCAAAACATAAAGAGTAGGTTATAAATTACAAACCCAGCTGACTTTTGTGGCCACAAGTAAGCAACTACTTAATGGCTTGTAATCTGATGAGATTGCACGGCCTATTTGAAGCACATTTAACTGTATTTGCATAAAAAAGTGCAATAAACTAAAAAGAATACATGTGAAAGGTCTGTTAATCATTTAATTAATTCAGGCATCGATCAGGCACAGGTAAGTAACAAGAAACAGGGAGTAAGGTAATAATAATAATAATTGATCAGATTTATATAGCGCTTTTCTGGACACTCAAAGACGCTTTACACTGTCAATTATTCATTCACACACATTCATTCTGGTGGTGGTAGCTACGACTGTAGCCACAGCTGCCCTGGGGCAGACTGACAGAGGCGTGGCTGCCATTCTGCGCCTACGGCCCCTCCGACCACCACCTCAAGCAATCCATTCACACGCATTCACACCAGGTAAGGTGGGTGAAGTGTCTTGCCTAAGGACACAACGACCATGAAACAGGTTACCGCCGACCTTCCGATCATTGACCGACTCGCTCTACCACCTGAGCCACAGCCGCCCCATTTGTGAAGTCTTTTTTGAAAGCTTGAACTGCTCATAGTGGAAACTGTGGCAAAGCTTATTACATTTAACACTACTTTCAAAATATCCTTTTTGGCTAGAAATGTGTAGCTTATGTTTTTGTTTCTAGACTCTACTTGACACTGAGCATGCCTCTTTTGATTAAGATAAATAATTATTCCACCAATAACAGCTTCCTATCAAGCTAAGATACGGCTTCTTTGTGATGAATATAGAACAAATTCCAACATCCTGGAACAGCTACTGGGTCTGATAACAGTCTGAAGGTCAACTAAATGAAAGATCTGCTAAGAAGGACAGAAAAAAAGAAAACAGTCTATTATAGATACAAATCAAATTGTCCATATTCTTTCAGAAAAGAGTGATACAGGGAGCAAGGCCCCCTCTGTGAAAACAATGTTTATTTGCAACCAAAGAAATAGATATATACTAAGTTATATTATGTATTTTCAAAATATGGCTTTGCTTTTATTTTTATTCATTTATTTATTATGAAAAAATGTATTAGAATTTTTGTAGATGGTTGACAAAAAGAATAACTTTACTTTAATATCTTTATTATCACCGATATTAAAATTCCTGACATGAATCTAACCTTGTATCCCTAATCATCATTGCTTTGTCAACACTAGTAAAGACTTCTAGCCAACTATGGTGCTCCAGCAAGCTTATATAGCATAACAATATTAGCTCAACATGATGTCACGCGAGTTAGAATTTTCGGCAGAAAATGATACATGTTTAATTGCTGGTTAGCTGTTGTGTTACTGAATTAGATAATGATGAAAATAATTTATCAGAAATCTAACATTAGCTAGTGAAAGTCACTCATGTCATGGGGAGCTTCTTACACAAAATGTTACAAAAATAGTTTTTGTTCATACAAATCATAACCTTCTGCACAACTCTCACGATAACAAAAAAAAAGAAGTATGGATATGTATATTCTTGTTAATGATATTTAAATTCCTGACAATCAAATAGTGTCAAAGCACCAATCACTAGTTCCAAAACAAGCAAAGAATTCAAATTAGCTAGCTAGCGCTTGAGCAAGCTAATACAGGATAGTGTTGTTAACTTAACATATAGTCAGCTCCTTAGATTTTTAGACAGCATATTCTACTTTTTTCTCTGCTTGTTAGCTATCAATGGTGTGCATAATTTACAAGAACATTATCAAAGTTAGAGTATTGAAAATCACTCATGTCCATAGAGAGCCTCTATCTTTTGTTTTAAATAGTGGCTAGCCCTCCATACCACTCTCAGCAAACAGCAGAAAAAGTTTGTATATTTTTATAGAACAAAGCATTTTACATCAACATATCAGAAAGTACTTATTTTGATTTAACCACAACAGTGAAGTGATTTCAATGCAAATATTTAAAAAGCCGCTATAGTTTTACCCTATTTTGCAGTCTATTTGTGTACTTTCAAAAACAGTGGAAAGTTTCAAATTTGTGAGCCAGTTTTCTCAAACTAAATTTAGAAATTGGAGTGATTTTTTTTGCATAAACTTGTGTCAATACGACATGTAAGTTTGCATACAGTAAACTTTTTTAAAATTATTATTTTCATTTTTTTCAACTGGTACTTAGAGATGTGGTTGCTTTTGCTTCTTTTCATACTTATATTATTAATTTATTCTTCTTTTTTTTTTTTTCTCTTGTTGTATTTTTGCAGCGCCTCAACGTGCAGAAATTCCACCTCCGGTTTACCCGGAAGACAGCATAGTTCCCAAAGATGGCGGAGCAGGGTCCGATGGCCATAGCGATGCGGCTCCGAAATCAGCTACAGTCCGTCTACAAGCTGGACCCGCTGAGGAACGAGGTGAGTGGTCGTGCTTTTCGAGCTCGTCCGCACAGGTGGACGAGCGTGCGGGGAGTCGAAGTGGCGCAGGGACGAGTTAGCGGCGCGTATTTAGCGGCAGATCGTTGTCGTCTCCGCGGCGCTGATGGAGAGACGGAGGGACGTGCTGAGCATGCGTAGACGGCGGCAGCACAGCCGTGTTGTTCTGCGGAGCAGCGTGCTGAAAGAGCCTCAACTGACTGAAATTTCACCCGCTTTAGGACGCACGTTCTGCTGTTTTCCTCCGTTCAACCGCCGGTTTACCTGCAGTTCAAGCGTTGTGTGAGTGAAGTGAGGCGGTGTGGGCCGCTGCACTCACAGGCTTGTTTCTCGGTTTGTTGTATAATGAAGTAACGGCGGTGTGTTTGGAACTAGCGCTGGTTCGTGTTTGAACAAACCGCGTTGATAGAGACACACCGCTTCGCTTATTCTCGCTAATTTTGCTGTTACTGTGACCTACTGTTGACCACACCGCCCTGGCTGGCGCCAAAACGTGACTAACCTCATCCCACTTTACTGCGAAAATGCCCCTCTGCGTTCACATTTTGCTCCGTTTTTCTGTAATAACCTGCTGGTGCTCCTCGTAGGAAGGCTTTCTTCACTCAGTCACGTTTATACAGCACCGGTTCCCCGCAGAGGTCAAAGGTCACAGCCAGCCTCTGCAGCTGTGTTTGGCCCAAAGACACCTGTCCTGGAGAGAACACCTGCAGATACAGTTCAGGCAATCTTGAGAAAAAGCATTGGTTGATCAATTACACTCAGTTGCCTCTTCATTCGGTCAACTCTAGTCATCCCAGCTCTACACACAAGGTATGTAGTGGAGTTAAATTGCATTTCTACAAAGACTAATGTGAAACAGGAATTATTACAGGACAAAGTACACATCATTAGGACAACATGCACCGTGAAAGAACCATACATCGCTGCATGTATAGAAGACGTGAGCAAGAGAAGTGATTCAGTGCTATATAAATAATCTGTACAGCTGCAAAATCTCTGGTGCTGTGCTTCCTGTTATGTACAGGAGCTGAACAGGTCTAAGCTTTATGTTAAATGTTTCCTAGAAGATCCACACATCACTGCATGTAAAGTAGTAAGAGATGAAAGTGGATTGTGCTCGAAAAACTAAGCGATAAGTACAGCTAAGAATAGATTGCTTGTTTCTTCACGTCGTGAATAGTAGCTAAACAATGTCTGATGTTTTCTGCTGTACGTGGGGGTTCTGCGGTGGTGTAAACAGTGTGGGAACCAGGCTGAGATGAGTGGATGTGGGCAGTAGTGAGACGTGCTGTATGCTCTCTGCAGGAGTTCAGTACAGCTGCTGCGTCTACGTCTGTAATGCCTGTATGTGCAGTTTTTTGGCAACGTGATGGAGATTTTAATTTTACATTACATGTTTGAGCAATAAAGCTGTTGTTAATGGTGGGATTTTTCTGGACTGCATCATAATCAAAGGTGTTACCAATATTATGCCATGCTCCTGTATGTAAATATTGCAATTAGGAATCTCCCCTCAGTATAATGTAGTTCAGTGAATCACCTCTTTAATTTGTGTTTTATTTCTGTTTAATTAAGTTTTTTTTTTTAGTCTGTTGTTTTACACCCTTCACTGTGTACTTTATTCAAAATTAACTGTCAATATTGTACACATGGTGTTGGTTTAACGGACCATAGCTGTGTGTTGACATGAACGAGGCATTTTAAAAGTAGTTGAAGGTGACACGAGGCCTCCGTCGATCGGGCTTGCTTCTCCCACAGATGCTCGATCAGATTGGAATCTGCAGAATTGAGTGGCCGGGACAATGCGTTGGGCTCTTTGTCGTGTTTCTTGAGCTGCTCAAGTGTGGCGGGGTGCATTGTCCTGCTGGGGGATGCTGCTGGTGTTGGGGAGGTGCTGTTTCTATTGTCACTGGGTGGATGTGCTTGGGCTGCAACAATGCTTGGATGGATATGTGTCAAAGTTCACACGAGTGTCAGTAATTAAGATTTCCCAGCAGAACAGTTTATTGTAACAAGATGATCGATGTTAGTCACTTTACCTGTCAGTAGTTTAGATGTTGTGGGTGATCAATGCAAATAAACACATTTACAGCCATGTCAGTACAATCTGAACATTGGACAACTGTGGAGAAGTAAAATTTATTTTAGAGCTGCTGCACTGCATTGCGTAGTTGTATCTAATAGGGCATGTGCTTTATTAAACTCATTGACTTTAAGCTGAAAATATGCAAAATACAGACTCAAAATCCTCTGTGCAGATTGATGCTCATTATCTAGCAACCATAAAGGTGTTCAACTTGCTATGCATTATATAACCTTGGGACACCTTTTATCATGAAATGGAGGGACTGCTCATCAAGTTTGTTTTAAAAGTAGCCGCAGCTTAAATCTCTTTAGAGCCTACGAAGGCAAAGCTATCAAATATTTGTACAATCACTCTTTCACCATTTTAAAAATTTGTCACAATATAATACACACACACGCCCATACTGGCATTGAAAAAAGGTTTTGTTTGCTCTCATCAGCTCTCGTTTCCATACTGGCTATTCAAACATTCCTTCTGAATGTGTTTTCAGTTTAAGTGTTAGAGACAAAATCCACAGTATGTATTCCAAAGTTTAGCTGACGTGGATACGGGTCGGGCTGAAACGATTCCTCGAGTAATTTGATTACTAAAAATCCTCGAGGCAAAATTCTCAATCTTAAGGCTTTGTTTAATCCATTATACGCTGTAGGATGTCCGCCCAGACAGTTATTTCTGTTGCACAGCGCGCTCACTTCTGCTTTTGATGCTGTCACGTGCATGCCAAGCGTAGAATGCAAAACTGAGACGGAGGCAGGCAGAGACGAAAACTGTGAGCGACAGGGAGAGCAAAATAACCCACGGAGAAAACAGTGTGTTACTATTAAATTAAGCTAAAGTAACTTAATGAGTTTAATTATGTTTGGCATCTGTTTGCTCAATTTATTGCTAGAATAATCAATAGAATACGCAATTATTAAAGTAATCGATAGCTGCAGCCCTTGATATGGGTCATGTCAACTTGTGTATAACACCTCTGTGTTTGTCTCAACAGGAGGAGGTCAAGTTGAAGATCAAGGACCTTAACGAACATATCGTCTGCTACCTTTGTGCAGGCTACTTCATAGATGCTACAACGATTACAGAGTGTTTGCATACTTGTGAGTTTTATCGTCTCTGTAAAATTAGCATCTCTTCCTGTGGTATTAATGTGCAAAAGTCTTCGTGCTATTTTACCGGAACAATGCTCAGCAGGATGTTGTCAACAGCTTGAAAAGGAAATGTCTCACTTTCTTTCTTTTCCTCGACAGTCTGTAAAAGTTGTATTGTGAAATACCTGCAAACAAGCAAGTATTGTCCGATGTGCAACATCAAAATCCACGAAACGCAGCCCTTACTCAACCTCAAACTGGATCGAGTGATGCAAGACATAGTCTACAAACTGGTGCCTGGACTACAAGAAAGTAAGATTTAAACAAAAGAAGATGTTCTCTGCTAGTTGTTAGTTTTAGTTGGAGGTACTTAGATGTCATGTAACGTACAACTCCTCAGTGCCAGCTGGGTTTATGTCTGTAACATCTTTTAAACACTGCCAGGTTTCCTGTCAGGTGCTTGTAAAGTCTAAAGTAAGCTAGTATAGCTGAAGGGAAGCCTGATTTTAACAGAATTAAAAGATATGTTAACAACAGTGATAACTTGATTGTCTGTCTTTGTGATGTCCTGTGACACCTGTGGTTGTATTTCCTCAGGTGAAGACAAAAGAATAAAGGAATTTTATCAGTCTCGAGGGTTAGAAAGAGTCATTCAGCCTACTGGAGATGGTAAGTCTTCATTTTGTTGTTTTGTCTACTAACTTGGTCTTAGATTTAAATGGGGTTTATACAAAAAGTCACTGTATATAGAAGACAATGGGGAGATTCATTTTAATGGGAAACATCACATCCTGCATTTTATGAGGTTTTCTCCAGCATCAGGCTCAGCTGTAGTCAAGAAATGTAGAAGTTGTTATAGATTAAGTGTAGGCTGAATCTGTTGCTGCTTTAGTGACAGACTCTAACAATTTTTATTTAAAGTACATCTTTATTGATGCTGGAGCCTAACTTACGCTCTAACCCTCTTGTGCTACTGAACACTTATTATTTGTTGTGGTGAGCCTGAAGCACTCTGCCTTAACTTCACCTGTCCATCTCATTTTTAAAGATCTCCAATAAAATAACATGTCCAGTTAATAATGTGCGAATTGATGCATGTTTTTTTTATTTGTAAAGTTAAACCTGATGTCCTTTCTCGACAGATGGCGTACCAGATGCTACAGGTTTACCTTACACAAGCTTTGACCATTCAAAAGCTCACTTCTACAGATATGACGAGCAGGTATCGCTGTGTTTAGAAAGGCTAAGGTAGGCTACACTCTTGTCTGATTCATCTTAAAATGTGTGTACTAAAATATGAATCTGAGGTAGAGCTGGTAAAATGTCAATATGAAGGTGAATATATTGGCATGCATGTTATTGATAATGAGTTTCAAGATAAACCTGTGCAACATAACATGGGTTTTACAAAGCTGACTTCTCTGGCTTGTCATTGCAGTTCATCACTTGCTGGAAAGGATAAGACAAAACTTACTCTTCAGGTGAGTCGTTCAGACCAGTAAACTGTCCTAGATGTATTTAGCACTGCATTTCAGTACAAGCCTGTGTACTTGGTGGAATTGTTGAGCTGATTATGGATGTTTTCAAAGCGAACCGGTTTTCACCAGAAAAAAAAAAAAAAAATCTCTCAAGGGGAACGTTTTTGAAGCCTTAACAACTAATTTCTGCTCTTAGCTGCTAAGCAAATACATGGCACTCTGACAACTGCAGCAACAGCAGAATTCAGCACTCAAAGCTGTTTAGTCTGGCTGCTGATGAAGCCTCAGAGAGAGACGGGGATAAGTGGCAGAAGTCCACCAGTGAAGCATATGATGTGTCTTTATTTCCCTGCCGTCCCAATGTTGAGGTGTTTTTGACTTGCATGTTAAAGTAAGAGGCTCACGGTGTTACGCAATGTTTGTAGTGATTAGTTTGAACTTATGGGGACCAAAAAAAAAACAATCAAAGAACTGTGTCGAGTTGCTTGGTGGACCAGATGGTTAATGTGCTGTGTGATAAGTTGTCATTCTCTTCATATGTACACTGCTGCTATCCTGTCAATATATGAATGTTTAGAACGCCATCATTTGGAAGAGAAACAAAGCAAATCTGGGATTAGAGAAAATCTAGGCAGCTCACTGCAGAGTATCAGTGATGTACTAATTATGGCACAATTATGACATGATGGCAGTTATTTCTTTGGCTGCATGAGTGTGATTTTGTGGTTGTGTATTCATCCTTTCACTTGCACGCATACATTTAAAACATCTGTCAAGTGGTCCCAGGGTTTCATTTATGTGGCTGGATCCTCTTGACAGACCCATGCATCGAGGGATAGATGTGTAACGAATGAAACAGAATCTCTTCCTGCCCGGATCTCATTACAGACGAGGTTTACTGAGGGAGTTGTTTAACTAAAGCTCACAGCATCCACTGTAAACCTCCCAGTCTCTCCAATCATCAACACTGCTGCAATGACTCTGTTCTTCCAGCAGAGGGCACCATTGTTTAACATAAGCTTTTTTTTCTGCATTTCCAGGGCAGAGAGAAGTTTGTATGAGAGATTTTGTTTTAGGCTTTAATTCTGGTCTTGCATTGTTCAGACAATATCCAGATTAAAGTCACAGCAAAGGATGTAAATGAAGACTTTTGGAGACTCCTGCAAGTGCATTTTCATTCACCCGTGTCCTCTTTGACCAACAAGCAAAGTTAAAATGTTGTTTATTGTTATATCTAGTGTTTCATTATGTAATTTGAGCATGCGACTTCATTGGTTCCATTCCTGGCTATTTATACGCAGTTGTCTTTCACTCTAACCTCTGTGTGAACTTATAAAATGGATTAGTTGATCATGATAACCCTCCAAAGTATATAAAAACAAAAGGGTAAACACGCTCTTGGATGTTACGGCGGATCAGTTTTCTAAGGCGAGCTGTGTTCCTGCAGCGTTCTGGATTTGACTCTTAACCTTTCTTACATGCTACCCTGCATGTCCAATCGCTCTCCACTGTTTTTACTGAGGTGTAAATTCAAATTTCTGCCTGCGCTTTAGAAGAAATACTGCAGGCTTGCTGTGCCTTCATGGCGAAAAGGAAGTTTAGCTTCATGGCTTAAGAGTGCGTAATAAGTCAGTTGGGACCACAGACGTCCAGCAGTAAGCTGGGTTTTTCTTCACTGTAAATCTAATTGTAACAGGAGCATGCCACACCCTGTTGAATCACTGTTAACCTTGTTAGTCGTTTATGTTTCTTGTGTGCTGGAGAAGTGTTTTGTTAAAGAACAGAATGAGGCGGTAAACTTTGGGTATACTTTACAAACATTTACATATTTTAATGCTGAAATTTATGGCAAGAAACAGCAGCATGATGTTGTAGTTTTACAGTCTAAAGAGGCATTTATCACTTTTTTTTCTGACTCTGACTTAATACCGTCGTAGGTCAAACTGTTAACGCAAAGCAAATTCACAGTCTACAAATCTAACACATAAATGAGGGACGTGCCTCTGTGGTACGGCAACTTGTTAAGTATGTCATTTGGATGTGAACCTGCAGTATGAACTAGAAGTCTCCCCAAACAGCTCCTCAGGGGTTGCAAGTGTTGGCTAATAAACACAAGCGTGCAGCTGGTCACAATTTATTGGAATCACTTCTTCGTGTGACCCTGTCAGTGACTGATCGTGTTGCTCGTCTACAGTTTTACAGTGCATTGTTTGACCTTGTCTCTGCAGCAGAAGTTCGTTCGCTGTTCTGTCCGAGCGGAGGTGAGACACCTACGGAAAGTGCTTTGTCATCGGCTAAACGTGGAAAAACACCAGGTCAGTCAGCAGTCCTCCGTCATCACATCACATGCAGTGACCATTTCCCAGTATGTCTTTGGTCCATGTCTGCGACGACCGATAAAATAAATAACTGTGTGGAAAATCTAAATAATATGATTGACGATGGCTGTGGAAGCATCATCTACTGGGACTGTTTTCTGTTTTGCAGTGTTTTTTATTATCAATACCAGTTTCTAAGCAAAAGTAAGCAGTTAGCCAACATCAGGTAGCAGGTAGCAACATTACCTCTGCCTCATGTTGCTCATGTTGTTATTTTTAGTAAATAAATGCAGTGTGAGCAAAGGGATTATTGTCATGCTTAGCTTTTTGGTCATCTCTGACTGAACATGAAAACGAATCATTCCCAGGTTGTTGCAGATCTGTAGAGAATGTCTGACTTCCAATTGAGTGCTTCACCCACCGTGCTACAGCTTACTTAGAGCGGTTTGAATCGCACGTTCCATTAACGAGCTGATTAAATATATTTACTTCGTGACAGTGGCAGTAAAGTCGAGACAAAGTTGCCTAAGTATGTTTTTCAATGAAGAAAAAAGGGACTTCTGCTTCCTTCTTTTACCAGCAGCAAATGGCTTATTAAAATAATCACAGATGTTCCTTTCACATCTGTTTGTGTGGTCTCCCTATAGGTCCAGATGTTGTTCAATAACGAGTCTCTGCCTGATCACATGACCATGAAACGGTTATGGCTCTCACACTGGTTTGGCAAGGTACAGTACAGCCACCGTCAGCTAGCGCCAACAAATGTCATACATTCCTTCACACTTGAACAAATTTTCTTTGTACTATAGTTCAGTTAGAAAATCAGGAGAGCGAGCTCACTGTAGACGTGTAATGGTAAAAAAAAAAAATCATATTTTAAATCTGAACCATTGTGTTCTCTTGTCTTACTCAATTTTGTATCATGGCTAATGAGATGCAACACTGAGTCTGAGCAGCTGTAGGATGATGTTAGGTTGATATAAAAACTATAAATAGCTTTCAGTTTGCAATCTATATGTAATATAGTTACACGTACTTCACTTTAAATATTTCCACTGCACATGTAATACTGTAAATGTTTTCTCCCCCAGGCCCAGCCGTTAGTTCTTCACTATACCATCAAGGACAAAAGGACCAGATAGGACTGGTTTTCAGTCGGAGGAAAGCTTGTACATATTTTGTACAATACATATTCTATTTTAATAGTGTTTGTGTACATATACTTATTTTCCTTGTTTTGTATTTTTGAAAATAAATTTTAAATGGTAAAAATAGAACTTTGTTTCAATGACTGACGCAGTGTTTTCATCAACATAAACTCTGCACACATAAAACGCCTCAACATGGAAACAGGTTGTTTAACATGCATCACCTGACTGATGCTGAACGGTACCATCATATTACACTGAATACAAACTCATGGTTGCTTCATGGTCGCCACATTAGTCCTCATTGCTTCTAGAAGAATCTCTTTAGCCTGAACTTTGGCATTTTATACGAATTATACAGAATTATAAGGAATATTTTTATTTGAGCAAGATCAGTCGTGCATTTTCTGCTGAATGTGACAATAAGGAAAACTGCATTAACTTTCCCTACACTCTGATCCACAGTCAGATAAGAGAATTACTATTTACTTTTTTTCTGCAATTGGGTGCCACAGTATCAACACTATTCAGTTGTTATTCAGGTTGCTTACAAGCCAGTTCACACAAACATGTAAAAGCGACTTATTTTTAAGCAAACAGCCTACAATCTAATATATCTCCCCTTTATAGATTGTGTTTATCACAGAGTGCTAATGTACATTTACATGTTTTCAGCAGCGATATTGAAGTTTTTCATGTGAACAAAATCTTAAATTACTGTTAGCAAAGAAACGACTTGATTCCGAATGTGAAGCGCCAACGTAAAAATGCTAAAACCACTGTTTGCATTAAGCATTTGACCTCTCTTGAGTTAAAAGTGGAATCCGTTTTGGCAGCAGCCGGAGCCCTGAGCTCGTGTGGATACGTCTGTGTCAGCTTTATGCATCTGGACGCTGCATATTTCTCCATTCTTCTGTACAGAGCTGCTCAGGCTCCGTCAGGTTCCATCGGGACCGACTGAACCGTAATTTTCAGGTCTTGCCAGGAATTCTGGACTCTGACTTGGCCAGTCATTGTTGTTTTAAAGCCATTTTTGTCCACATTTGGCTTTAAGTTTTGGGTAGTTGTGTTGCTGAAATAATGCTTCTGCTGAGTTAGTCCTTGTGCAAACTGGAGCAGATTTTCCTGAAAGATTTAGATTTTGACGTACGAGGTTTTCTGAGGTCTGTTGCAGAGAAGAGACTCCCATCATCAGCCCTGCTTGCTAAATAGCACACTGCAGTGTTTTGATTTCACTAAACATATTGTTAAAACTTTTCATTGTAGAATTTTCTTTGACTAGCTTCACATGGTGCCAGTTTCTTGCATATTAGCAGTTTATGTGCCTCCTATCTGGACCATGTAGCTGCTTCAGATCTCTTGGTTTCCTCCCTCATACGCTCACAGGCCTGCACCAGCTAGATTTACAGCTGTGCCATGTCCTTTCCATTTTTATAATTGACCTTACTGTAATCTGAGCGATATTCAGTGCCTTGGAAATGTCTTGCGTCCCTCCCCTGCGTGGCAGCTCTCAGTAAACGCGTCACAGATAGTTCGTAATCTTACATTTGGGATTATCCCTTCTAGATACAGGTGTATTTAAAATGACTTGTATATACGTAAGTCGGTTTATTGTGCGACTTTTAAAAACTCTGCTAAGGATTCTGGCGTGTGCCAAACTAGGGTGGAAGAAAAGTTACTGATTTTGTGTTTTATGTTCATTTAAATCCCTCTTTTGCTTTTATTTGGCAGTGAAAGCCTCATTTTTATTCCTAAAAACAGAACATTGAATAGTTGTGATTCCATATTGTAACTTAAGTCAGCTGGTCTTCACCCTTCGGGCCACGAGGTGAGTTTGTTAAAAACTGTTTCCAAGATCTAAAACCTTTCAGTCTCATCATTTTAGATCACTTGTACTCGGGGATTACTCTTTTTTTGGAGACTTCAGGGGAAACTTTAACAATTAATCATTATATTTTCATTTCCAAACAGGTCAGAAATGAGGCTGAGATATCCAGCGTTCAGTCCTTTGTATAGCTCAAACTGCTGGAAGCTGTTTCTCAATAATGCAACTGGATAACATACTTGGTTAGATCCTGCATGTCTGACAAATGACCATATCCATCAAACACCACGCTCCCGGGATTCCTTTTATAAACTTGTGGTCGGTAAGCTCAACTTCAGATAACTCTCGTGAGGGTTTTCTAGACTCCAGAGAGCTCCCCCTCCACAGCCACAGTATACAGCTGCTTCACTGCAGTTCCCTTGATGAGGAAACTGACCAGTAGAGCGAGCGCCTCCTTATCATGACGGACTGTAGAATCTATTAAGCCTGTCATTTCACCTCATCTTTTAAATGTGACGCTGACTTTGAGATATTTTATTTTCAAACGCTTCCAGAGGAAACTGTGGAAAACTTTAGATGCATTGCTCCTTTAAAATCTCTTAAAGATTTCATGTGAACACATTGTGTCCATTTAGACCCACGACCTCTTTATCTTTGCTGGATTTCATTGATCATTGTCAGGGACTAACTGTGTTGCTCTTCCTGCTCAGACACCCCTCCCCGATGAGCACTAGGTGGCACACTTGGTGCTTTTCAGGCCTGGGATGAGCTTTGATGTGTGATCTTGTCCAGAGTGAAAGGAAACTCTCTGATAACCTGACACTGGCTGATAATGTATACAAGGCTTGTATCTTAGTCCCTCTCCACTAAGTAGATGGTGGTGTCGCAAGCCAGCAGCACTTTGCTTGATTGGAGTTTCTTAAATATCTTTGTAGAGGAAGGTCAAAAAACAAAATATCACAGCGACACAACAACGGGGTGACGTGGTTTCACTGACATCTAGCTGGTGTTGGAGCTCAGAGACAATAACCAGTTTTTCCAGTTTGTGTCTCTCAAAGGTCAAAGGTTAGAAATGAAGTTTGGGTTTGATATGAAAGAAAACCCTGTCTTCATCGAGGGCAAAACAATTTTTCCATTTCATCATAGAGGTCAGTGACCTGCAGTGAGGCGGCTGTGGAGCAAAAGCACTTTTCTCAGGTCTGATGGTGAGATGCTACAAACTGAGATCAGACCACTGGGTTGAATTCTCCAAAACTAATTTCTGCTTTGTTTGGGAGGAAGATTTTCAAATATTTTTCTAATAACCTTGATAACATCTTAAACATTAACATGTTCCAAATCAGGCCCCTGTGGCCTCGTTTCCAAACGGAGGATAAAATAATGTCAACGAGAAGCTGCACGCCAGCCAGCAGCAGCAGCACACACACACACACACACACACACACACACACACACACGCACACACACACTGACACACACGTCCACGTTATGGGTTTCACCCTGCCACACTTCTAAAGCCTGAGCATGTCCCCTCAGGGCACTGTTATGTTGCAAAAAACAATAATCCCCCGAAGCTGTGACCTTTAGGCCCAAAGAAATGTTTTCAGCTTTCTGTTGGAGCGCTGGCTTAGATCGCAGCTTGTCTCTTGTGGCACTTCTGGATTCTATTTTCTCATTAAAAGAGCAAAAATAAAAATGTGCATCTAAATGTGGAGCCAGAGAATGAAGACCAGTGATTTTGAAAGTCCAGCAGCTGCTCATGTGTGTAATTCACCAATGTCACTTAAAGTAGCAGCATTTCACATTTAAAGGGAAAGACTGTCAGATACACAAAATATAGCTATGACCGTAGAAAATAAAGAGTCAGTTATTTATGCTGTAATTCAGTTAAGAAATTGTATAATAATAATTAACCAGATTTTAACAGTACAATTAATATGTTAAAATATCAATCTAAGAATATGATAAAGGATTAAAAGTGTGGTTGTTACAATTTTTAATTAAACCGTTATTAAGCCAGTATTTTCCCCAAAAAGAATCTTCTTAATTCTTAGTAAATAAAATAATAGAGTTATAACAGGAGTTTCAGCACTACAGCGGTTTTCCACTGATTCTCATTCAAAGCTCCATCCTCTCCATGTTCCTGCTGCCAGCCCAGAGTGTCTCCAAAATAGAAGGCCTACTTGACTTTTCAACCTCCACGATTCCAGCCGATTACTTCTATTGTGTTCTCCAGCCTGCTTTGTTTCTCTACAACTAAAAAGAAAAAAAAGAGGGGGGAAAAATCGGTCCTAACAAGCCTCTTGGTTTCCTTTTTAGTTTTCACATTATATCAGATTTATTTTTTTTATTCCCAGCGTAGTGACAGTGAGAGGGCCTGATTCCATTTAAAGCAGTGCGTTTTTCTAATCATCCACAGCAAACTGCAATTTTGTAAAAAAAAAAAAAAATCTCTTCAGTAATGATAAAAAAAAAATGAAATAGCGAGTTGATCTACTTCTTAAATATAAAGTGTTAAACGCTTTATAAAAAGTTTATTAAAATGTAAAAGTCTGTATTATAGGATAGGATTCCATTATTATTATTATTTTGAATTCTCATAAAAATCGATTGTCAAGAAAATAAAAAAAAAAACGTGAATTATTTTTTTGTCCCTCAAATAACCACAGCATTTCCCACTTCATAATGTAATACCAAAGTAATAAATACCACAAGTTAAGGTCTCTGAATTAACAAATAAAACGAGTTTGAAATATCAGGTACATGGTGCGTAATTGTGTGCGTAAAAGGAGCCATAAAATCTAACCTGCAGGCCGGTTTGTATTGAACAGCAGTGTCAGTGAAACCTGTTTTGGAATAAATAACAAAAAAAAAAACAACAACAACAACAAAATGCTGCAATGACACCCACGTCCCTACCCACACACACACACACACACACACACACACACACACACACACACACAACTTTTGATCCCGTTACAAAACTGTTGCAAATGGTCAGCAGCAGCAGCAGCAGCAGCACGTCGCGTTTCCACTGCCTCCCATTGAGGTTTATTCATTAGGATCCTCACACTCACCCATTTGCTATTCATGGGAGACTTTTTCTTTTTTTTTTCTCGCTCTTTCCAAACAAACCCCGAGTCAAGAGTGGCAGATGCGTGCCATTATTGCCCACGGCTCGGTGGAAGCTGTTTTATGTAAGGCAAAGGCGGGTTAACCTAATCAATCATGTCGACTAGTTGTGTTAAAAGACGATTCATGGAAGGAGGAAGAAAACATATGGCGCAGGGGTGGAGGCAAG